ATGAAATAATGCTGGACATCACTAATGATCAATGAAATGCAAACTGAAGCCACAGTGAGATATCATCTTACTCCAGTCTGAATGGTTATTATTAAAAAATCAAAAAATAACAGATGTTGCTGAGGATACAAAGAAAATAGAACTCATATGCTGTTGGTGGGAATATAAGTTAGTACAACTATGGAAAACTTTATGGAGGCTGCTCAAAGGACTAAAAAATAATGACCAGGTATATATTCAGGAAAAGAAATCATTATATCAAAAGGATACCTGCACACATGCACACATATATTTATCACAGCACCATTTACAATAGTGAAAATATAGAATCAACCTAAGGGTCTATCAATGGATGATTTAATTTTAAAATGTGGTATATAGGCCAGGCGCGGTGGCTCAAGCCTGTAATCACAGCATTTTGGGAGGCCGAGGCGGGTGGATCACGAGGTCAAGAGATCGAGACCATCCTGGCCAACATTGTGAAACCCTGTCTCTACTAAAAATGCAAAAAAAATTAGCTGGGCACGGTGGCGTGTGCCTGTAATCCCAGCTACTCAGGAGGCTGAGGCAGGACAATTGCCTGAACCCAGGAGGCGGAAGTTGCGGTGAGCCGAGGTCGCGCCATTGCACTCCAGCCTGGGTAACAAGAGCTGCACTCCAGCCTGGGTAACAAGAGCGAAACTCCGTCTCAAAAAAAAAAAAAAAAAAAAAAGTGGTATATATACACAGTGAAATACTATTCGTCCATAAAAAATGAAATCATGTATTTTGCAGCTATAAGGATTGAACTGGAGGTCATTCTCTCTAACTGAAACAACTCTGAAGCAGAAAGTCAGATGCTTGTTCTCACTTTTTAAGTGGGAGCTAAATAATGTGTACACATGGACATAGGGTGTGGAATGATAGGCATAGGAACCTCAGAAGAGTCGGGGAATGGAAGGGAAATGGGTGATGAGAAATTACTTAATGGATACAATGTACATTACTTGAGTGATGGATACACTAAAAGTCAAGACTTCACCACTGCATAATATAGTCATGGAACAGAATTGCATTTTTACCTTTTAAATTTATACACTTTTTGTTTTTTGGAAAAAAGAAAAAAAACCTCTGTTCTCTCTTCTTTTCTTCCTCCTTTCTGCCCTGTGCTCCTGAATCAAAAGGTAAAAATATTTAATAAAAACCTTTTCAACTTTTAAAACCAAAGCTCCAGTGTGTTTCAGTTCAGGCAAACAGATCACTTAGTGGATCGGCAGCCCTCTAGTTTCAAAGATGTAGAGTCTGTGAATTCCAGTTTGGGGCTCACATGGAACCTCCTGCTATACTTTATTTTTTTTTCTAGTGGTGCCAAAGGCATATACTTCAATAATTTAAAATCATCTTGGACTTATTTATAATAAATATCTAAGAACACAAAAAGCAATAAATTATGAAATTCTTGAAAACCAGATCCAAAGAAGCCATATATCCCAACTGTTGCACGATTATCTCAGCAACCAGGCTACCCAGGAAACAAGACTTTACTTCCACTAAATGCAGTTTTGGTACCAAGTCCAGGGAGTGATACTCCCCAGATTGCTTTTGTGACATCCTGAGATTTATGTCATTTATATCTAGAGCTATCTTGGACATGTAAAAATAAAACTAGTTGAATTATTTAAGTTGTGAAAATAGTATGCAAACTATTATTTTAATTGAGAAAATTATATGCTGTATGTTAATATTTGTATCATTTTAACTGAGAAAAGAATACACTGTAAATTATTCTTTGAGGAAAAGAGGATGTCATGGAATCAAACCAATGGCAGAGGTTCAGATACAACTTTGGGCAAATCTCTTACTTCCTTTTGCATGGGCTTCCTTTTCTAAAGCTGGAGAAAATAACTCCCCTTTCCTGGGTTGCTGTGAGAATTCAGTTATACGTGAAGTTCTTAAAACAGTTTCTGGTATATGGTGCCATGAAGTGCCATGAAGGTGTTTCTTATTACAAAGTATTTAAAAGGTTATACAAATTATTTTTAAGTAGTTGGTTTCTTTGATTAGTCAGCAAATAACTTTCAGAAATAGAAAGTCAGATGCTTGCTCTCATTTGTAAGTTGGAGTTAAAAGGCCAGGCACGGTGGATCAAGCCTGTAATCCCAGCACTTTGGGAGACCGAGGCGGGTGGATCACGAGGTCAAGAGATCAAGACCATCCTGGTCAACATGGTGAAACCCCATCTCTACTAAAAATACAAAAAATTAGCTGGGCATGGTGGCGTGTGCTTGTAATCCCAGCTACTCATGATGCTGAGTCAGGAGAATTGCCTGAACCCAGGAGGTGGAGGTTGCGGTGAGCCGAGATCGCGCCATTGCACTCCAGCCTGGGTAACAAGAGCAAAACTCCGTCTAAAAAACAAAAAAAATTGAAGTTAAATAGTGTGTACACATGGAAACAGAGTGTGGAATCAGAGACATAGGGGACTCGGAAAGGTTGGGGATGGAAGAGGAATGGGTGATGAGACATTACTCAGTAAAAGGTCTATTTCAGCAGTTGACTTAGTAATAATTTGTATTAAGTTGCTTTTCACTTGTGATTAATTTTTTTTGTGGGTCAGTCATCTTTAACCAAAAGCAAAATGCATCCACCCTTATACTATGACAGTTTCCCAAAGTGTGTTCCTTGGTATGCAGTTTCAATGGAATGTTAGCGTATGTTATGTGGGAAAAAAAACGGTGCTGTAATTGGTGAGTTTGGGAAGCGCTGAGTTAGACAAATGTAAGTAAGGCTTCTTTAGTAAGAACGTCTCTGAGCTTTTCACTCTGTAATGTGCCCCGAGATCTTACAGGTGGTTTTCCACATGTGTTTGGAAACAGATTCTTTTATTTACAAAGGATCTTGAGAAATTAATGTTCTATGAAATGCATTTTGGTATTTTAAATATACGTATTTTAAAAGATGGGGTTGATTACTGTGAAGGGATTCACTGGCAGGCACGAGAGACTCAGGAAAGCCCAGGAAGAAGGCCAGGAGTTCCAGACTTGGTGGTCCAGCAAGGCTCAGGAAGAAGCATTCCATATTCTAAACATCATCATCATCACCATAACATAAGCATAAGGCATAACATTTGTGTGGCACTTGAAAAAATGCATGGTCTCATTTTACTTTTCAAAAAACCAAATGAACGTTGAGCTATTATTTTATGGATGAGGAAACTGAGGTTCAGAGGTGAAGGTGTGGTGACAAACTGAAGGTCACACAGCTAGTAAAGAGTGACTTGAACCCAGGCAGGTGACTTGAACTCCCTGCTTTTTCCACTGTACCATACCGCAGCCTGTTAGGGTTCCAATTAAACAGCTCCTTCAAGGGAAACACCAAGGCATCTTACATCTGACCTCAATTAGGAAAGTTTATAGTGGAAGTGCACTTTTGCATGGCATGACATGCCACAAGGCAATCCAGTGCTTAAGATGCTGCATCTAGAGAAAGCAGCAAGCATGAGGAACAAAGGAAAACTGGCACTTAGTCAACATTCCTGTGTTCTCATGAAGGAACTCCATGAACTCCATGAGTTCACTCCTAACTTATACATGTATTTATAGCACTACATGCCCAGGAGATGTTTCTTAATAAGAGATTCAAAAAACACAACTCTCACTAATAATGAATAGCAGATACTTATATTACTCAAACTAATCCAGTTCTCTTAATAAGAAGCCCTGTTTCCTTCTCCTGATGTTAAAAGATTACTTTCTAGAGACTCTGTTTTAATATCTCCAATTACCAAATAATTATTTATACTGCCTTTCAACCTCATTAGATGTGTAACAGAGTATGAGAGGGAAACACAGAAGTAACTTAGTGCTCAGAGTTTATGTACTCATGGGCAGAGAAGGTGTATTAAAAGCCAATAATAACAGATGATGTTTATTGGGTGCTAACTAATGGCCAAACATTGTTGTCAAGTGCTTCACATAATTGATCATATTTTATTTGTGACATTGAAAAGTATTATTATTATTGTTATTATTATTTTGATGGAGTCTCGGTCTGTTGCCCAGGCTGAAGTGTGGTGGCATGTTCTTGGCTCACTGCAACCTCTGCCTCCCAGGTTCAAGCGATTTTCCTGCCTCAGCCTCCTGAGTAGCTGGGATTACAGGTAACTGTCACCATGCTCAGCTAATTTTTTTGTATTTTTAGTAAAGATGGGGTTTCACCACCTTGGCCAGGCTGGTCTTGAACTCCTGACCTCGTGATCTGCCCACCTCGACCTCCCAAAGCGCTGAGATTACAGGCATGAGCCACTGCACCCAGTCAGAAAGTAACTATTATTAATATCACCATTTTACAGATAAGATTATTGAGGCTTAAATATCACAAGCTAAGAACTTGTGAACAGCTTGATAGAGATTGTGGCTTTTCTGCCTGATTGTTCTAGGCATGGCTCAGTGCCCAGCACAGACTAGGGGCTTTATACAAGTTTGTGAAGCAAATACCTAAGCAAGCAGCTCTAAATGTTTCAGCCAACCACTCGGTGGCTTCACCTGAAAGTTGTTTTGACAAAGACCTTTGCCTCAGAATGGATACAGCACTTAGACTAAAAGGTCAGAGAGAGAGAGAGAGGCAGCCCCGCTTTCTCAGAGGTGCAGGGGTAGCCTCTGCTTCTCTTGAGTACCATGTCCCATGCTTGTTCAATTGAGATCACCTGCACCCGCCAGCAAACTGACAGAGAAAGGGCCTCATGAAGTGTATCCCAGTAGGGACCTCCACAGTGGCCAATGCTCTCATCAATGAATCATTGAAGATTCTGGGCTTCCTCCTGGGAAGTCCCAAACCCAGCTACTGCTTGCATCCCTTGCAACAAGCTGGCCACCCCAAGCCTCATTCATAGAGAAATGCTGCAGCTGGAATTTGAGGATGAACTGTTTCTGGAGGTTCTACCAGTTTACTTCTGGGGAGGCCCCCACCTGGGCCTGGCCTTGTGAGTGAATTCTTAAATCTGGAGTGTCTCTCTCTTCCAGGACATCTGAAGTATCTCTTCTGCAAGGGAATGCAGATAAAAGCAGCCTGCAGAATGGTAAGTAAATAACTGAACTCAGATTCTACAAACCAGGCAAGAAAATGAGCCTTTGAGCAAAATAAAAAAGGGTAATCCTTCAGGACAGATGAATTGTAAAAGGCAATGCTTACCCACTTCCCCACCCCTAATTGGTAAAAGGTCCTTTTCCTGAGGGGCCAGGCCTGGGCAGTCCCATTTAAGCTGGAGAATGGGTCAATTCCCTAGAAGTACCTTGCATTCAGGGTAGCAGTGACTTTTAAAATCGTTTCTTTGCTTAAAGCCTCCAGGGATAAATCCCCTCTACATAGCAGATGGGAGAAAATTGGGGCTGGTGCCCTTAGTGGAACTCTCTCCTCTGATCCTATCACCCATGGGAGAGGTCTCCACCCCTTTCTTCCTGGTTATTACTGAACCACCTAGTTCACCTCTTCTTTAAGTCACTTCCAAACACTGAACAGGCCTTCCCAGACCTCATAAAGAATCCTCACCCCCTTGTTTTTCCTTACCAAGGAGTGCTTGCAAGCACTGGTGTATCCATAACTATTTTAGTTGTGTATTCTCTGTCTTCTCCCTAGGATGTGAGTTCTAGGAGTGCAGGCTTGATGATTTTTGGGTCACTTTTCTTTTCAGGCCCTGGCACAGCTCATGGCACATAGAAGAATATGTATTTATTGGATTCACTGAAAAATGAGAATAAGTTAAGAAGCAGGACAACCTCATTTTTATTTATTTTTGAGATGGAGTTTTGCTTTTCTTGCCCAGGCTGGAGTGCAATAGCACCATCTCGGCTCACCACAACCTCTGCCTCCTGGGTTTGAGCAATTCTCCTGCCTCAGCCTCCCGAGTAGGTGGGATTACAGGCATGTGCCACCATGCCAGGCTAACTTTGTATTTTTTTTTTTTTTTTGAGACAGAGTTTCGCTCTTGTTACCCAGGCTGGAGTGCAATGGCATGATCTCGGCTCACTGCAACCTCCGCCTCCTGGGTTCAAGCAATTCTCCTGCCTCAGCCTCCTGAGTAGCTGGGATTACAAGCATGCGCCACCATGCCCAGCTAATTTTTTGTATCTTTAGTAGAGACGGGGTTTCACCATGTTGACCAGGATGGTCTCGATCTCTTGACCTTGTGATCCACCCGCCTCGGCCTCCCAAAGTGCTGGGATTACAGGTGTGAGCCACCGCGCCCGGCCCTAACTTTGTATTTTTAAGAGATGGGGTGTCTTCATGTTGGTCAGGCTGGTCTTGAACTCCTGACCTCAGGTGATCTGCCTGCCTCAGTCTCCCAAAGTTCTGGGATTACAGGTGTGAGCCGCCATGCCCGGCCTTCATTTTTAATTTTTTAAGAGACAGAGTCTCTGTTACCAAGGCTAGAGTGCCGTGGCATGACTATAGTTCATTGCAGCCTCGACCTCCTGGGCTCAAGCCTAAGCCCCTGGAGTAGATAGGACACCAGCCACCATGCCTGGTGAATTTTAAATTTTTCTCTAGAGATGGGGATCTTGCTGTGTTGCCCAGCTTGGTCTGGAACTCCTGGCCTCAAGCAGTCTTCCCACCTCAGCTCCCTGAGCAGCTAGGACTACAAGTGCATGTCATGCCTGGCTAATTTTTAATTTTCCTTTTTAAGAAATGGGGGTCTTGCTGTGTTGCCCAGGCTTATCTGGAGCTCCTGTACTCAAGCAATCTTTCTGCCTCGACCTCTCAATCACCTGTCGGGATTACAGGTGTGAGCCACTGTGCCTGGTCATAGAGAACTTCCTTTTTGACAGAAAAGTAATCATGAACATGTGAGCAATATTTCATTTAGATGCCAATGTAGAGCTAAGCATCCCTAACTTCACTTGGTCTTTTCCTCTCACTCAACATCTGCAGCTTGTCCATGCCTCTCCACGGCAGCAGAAATGGGCCAAAGCAGGAAAGGCTGACTCACTGTAGATGCCAGAGGCTGGGAAAATTTACAGAGCCAGAGGGGAAGTAGACACACTGGTTCTGGGGAAGGATGGCCTGTTTACTTTTGGGAAAGGAATGGACGATGAGAGGGACTTCTGGAAGGCAGAGGAGGACAGGTGGGATGGTTTCCTAAGCCTGGAGCATCAGGTTCTGGGAGGGAAGAGGCAGGTAGTAGTGACTGATGCCCTGGACTGAAGACTGGGAGAGCCAGGAAGGAGCCTTAAAATTGGCACCTCCAGAGAGAAAGACCAGTGGTGGGATTGACCTTGGGCTGACAACTGACAGGCAGCATGCGGTGGAGTTTCAGGAAGTCAGAGGTCTGGCATGCCAGCAACAAACTCATGATGGCTGATGGAAGGGCCCAGCCTAGACGGGGAAGCAGAGGAGCTAGGGCTGGAGTCCATGTGAAGTGGAATAAGCTTCTGTGGGAGCCAGGAGGTTGTATTTCCTGTGTGTATGTGTTGGGGGCGGGTGTGGAGGTGGGGGTGTGCCCAGAGAGAAACTATGGATTGGGCCCAGGCGGGCCAGTTTGAGTGTTTGGCATCCAAGGTGTTTTAAGATGGCATTGAGGCCAGACGTGGTGGCTCAGGCCTGTAATCCCAGCACTCTGAGAGGCCAAGGCAGGCAGATCACCTGAGGTCAGGAGTTTGAGACCAGCCTGGCCAACAGGGTGAAACTTAGTCTCATTACTAAAAATAATAATTAAAAAAAATTAGCTGTGTGTGGTGGTGCGTGCCTGTAATCCCAGTTACTCAGGAGGCTGAGGCAGGAGAATCGCTTGAACCTGGGAGGCAGAGGTTGCAGTGAGCTGATATCGCCCCACTGCACTCCAGCCTGGGCGACACAGTGAGATAAAAACAAGATGGCATTGAGATCAATAAAGTAGTCTAGAAACCAGGAAGCTTTTTGCAAAGAGCAAACGCCTTTTGTTATCCTCACGGATAAGTATTAAGCTTTCCCTCACAGACAGGACTACAAGCTCCAGAGGGGATCTGAGAGGAATGTGAATTGCTCTTCACCTTTGTAAGGGGCAGAAGACCGGATTTTCAAATTTAAAACAATCATCCTGTTTCTGGAATCAGAAATCAGTTTAGAGATTTACAAACGTATTTTTTTTTTTTTTAATCTGTCTTCCTGGGGGATTTGGGAAGGGCGGACTTCACCTAACACCCAGTATACGCCACGCCAAGCCACCGAAGCCAGAGATGTGTGTGTGTCTGGGGTCACAGACGTGTATTCGCTCAGCAAGGCCGGCCTTAGACGCAAACGCCAGCACCGCCACCCTGTCGCCCGCTGAGAGGATCTGGCCGCCAACGCCGGAGCGGGGGAAGGCGGGGGGACAACAAAAAACCCCAGCATAATGGACATCCCCAGTGACGGTTGGGTTTTTTCCCCCCCCAGTCAGCCGAGAAAACAAGTGCTCCACTTCCCCGGAAATGAGATGCACAGGGGTATTCATTCCATCCCGCTGCTGGGAAGCCCCTGTGGAAAGGAATCTGGCTGCCTGTGCGGCCTGGATCCCAGAAATCCAAAAAGAACGTCCCCTGAGGCCACAGCTTGCTCCTCCATGTGACCAGCCCCTGGGCTGGTGGCCACCGTGGACGCGCCCGGCGCCCCTCTCCCGGCTCCCTTCGGGTTCCGCGGAGCCCGCGGCGCGCGGCCCGACCAGGTGCACCCGGCACGGCCCTGCCAACAGCGCGCGCCTCCAGCCGCCGGGCACAGGCGGCCACGCAGGCGAGATTTACGGTGGCGCTGGGCGGCGGCTTCCGGGGCCGGTCGGCGCCCAGGCTCCGATTACAGGTTCACACCGGGGGCCCGGCCCGCGGCCGCCCAGCCCCCGCCGGCGCGCCCTCGCGCGGCCCGGCTCCCCGCCCGCCTATTCTTCTCCATTCATGCGGACGCCCAGCGCCGCCGCCGCCGCCGCCGCCGCCAGCGCGGCCGCCGTCGCCGTCGCCGGCCGCCCCGATTGGCTGGCGGCCGCGGCGCCAGCACTTTCCCACGGCCCGCGGCGCGTGCGGCTCACCGGAGGCGCTGCAGGCGCGGCCCTGGCGCGCGGCCAGGCCAATCGCGGCGCGCGGGGCGGGGAGGGGCCGCGGCCGCCGGCGGGCTTGTGTCCTGGCCCGGCCTCCCGCGCCTCCCCGCCGCCCGCGCCTCCTCCTTCCCCAGAGTGCAAGCCCGGCGGAGCCCCTGCGGAGCCGACGCACAGCCGCCGGGCAGGGGTGGGCGCGGAGGGCGGGGGCGCGGTCCGCTCGCGCCCTCCGCCTCTCTCCCGCCCCATTCCCGGAGCGGCTGTCAATCAGCGGCGCGAGAAGCCGGATTGGCCGGGGGGCGGTTGTTGCCCTGGAGCTGCCGCCCCGCCTTCCCGCCCCCTCGCCCGCCTTCCCCACTCCCTCGCCCTCCCCAGGGCCCTGGGAAGGGGTTTAGCGTGGGAAAGGATGGTTGAGTTTTAACCAGAGGCAAAGCGTGAGCGGGATCAGTGTGTGCGGAACGCGAGCAGCGGAGCGCGGAGAGGCGCCGCTGTAGTTAACTCCTCCCTGCCCGCCGCGCCGACCCTCTCCTGAAGCCCCCGGGCAGCCAGCATGAAGCGAGCTCACCCCGAGTACAGCTCCTCGGACAGCGAGCTGGACGAGACCATCGAGGTGGAGAAGGAGAGTGCGGACGAGAATGGGTGAGCCTGCGGCGGCGGAGCAGAGCCAGGGCTGGAGGCGAGCGCCGGCCGGCCGCGGTGACAGCGGGCGAGGACCCTTGGCGCGCCGGTGCCCTGCGCTGACCTCAGCGCGTCGCGGGCTGGCGGCCGCCTGAGGCCAGGGAGACTCCTGTGGCGCTTTCCAGCCCAAGTTGCAAAACAGTCTGAGTGCGGGGAGGGAGTGGGGGCAATCTCTTAGGTCACCTCCCCTCGTTTAATGGCAATTTCAGTTTTTGTTCGTTTTTTTTTCTCTTTTCAGAAACTTGAGTTCGGCTCTAGGTTCCATGTCCCCAACTACATCTTCTCAGATTTTGGCCAGAAAAAGACGGAGAGGAGTGAGTCTCTTTGCAATTTCCTTTTATTTTTGTTAATTAACTGAAATAACCACCTTTTTTTTTTTTTTGTCTTTGAAATTCAGAGTCGTAATGGAAATGCCTTCCTTTGTTTTGCTTGCCTTCTGCAGATAATTGAGAAGCGCCGACGAGACCGGATCAATAACAGTTTGTCTGAGCTGAGAAGGCTGGTACCCAGTGCTTTTGAGAAGCAGGTAATGGAGCAAGTAGGTAAAGCTCTCTGCGTAGCTGTCTGCACCTTCTGACTCCTTCCCCCCATTAATCTCATCCGCCTTGGAAAATAACCGTGTCGCTGTGCCTAGATGAATTCGTACGCAGATGCCAACGTATTTTGTGAAGACAACTGATTTTGTTTTAGTACATACTTTACGATTTACAAAGCATACATATTTGCTTATATGTATTCATATTTTAAGTTGTTTCCCAAAGGACCTTGTGCCAAATCAATCTTTTGCCATTCTCATCTTTAGGGATCTGCTAAGCTAGAAAAAGCCGAGATCCTGCAGATGACCGTGGATCACCTGAAAATGCTGCATACCGCAGGAGGGAAAGGTACATCTCCTAGACCTGGTGGGGGCTCTGAGTGGTTGGCATAGAGTGAGCAGCGACTGAAAGCCAGGATTGGTGCAGTAGCTGACTGATGATTCTTTGGTGGTGTGGAGACAACGGTATGTGGTGTATGCAGTTTCCTGTCGGTACATTTTGAAATGCACATAGAATCTTTGTTCAGTGAATTCACCACTCCAATTCTCTACAGATTGAGCTAGTGCATCTTTTAGAAAATACCTATTATTTGTGAGATCTTCAAAAGTTGTGACAGCCCTGATTCAGATCAGGTAGCTCTCACATTTGTCCATTACTATTTTGAGAAAAAGCATTCAAAAACAATATGTGGTCTTATTCTGGTATATGGATTGAAAAAAAATGTGCTGTCACAAGCCTCTTGAGGAAAGAAATGTATTGTGGTTAAGTAGAGAAAACCTAACAGGAGACCAAGGTCTGTGTGTCTGTCTCCAGCAGGAAAATGCTTTACTGAGGTCCAAGTGCCTAAAAGCTCCACGATGATAACTTACATCTGTGTGTCTAATGAATCTCACTGCTCTGTGGTTTCTCTGTCCTTGATGTATTTTTTGTTGTTGTTGAGGGAAAACATTAAAGGAATGAACATAGTTTCATCTGCTGGTAGGGTATAATTCCAGTTTCTGCTCTGGAGCTTCTAATTGGACTTTGAACTTGCATTAGCAAACACATTCTGCTCATGTTGATTAATGCAAAGATTTCGATCGACTCCAAAATATTTAGACTTTCGGAAGAACCCTTGAGTGTTGTTTGTAAGGGATGCAGGTATCTGCCAGGAAGGGCTGCCTCTGGGATTGAAAGAAATGCGGGAAATGAGCAAAGCCCTGAGATTTTTTCTTTTGTTCTTTTCGTTAGGTTACTTTGACGCGCATGCCCTTGCTATGGACTATCGGAGTTTGGGGTTTCGGGAATGCCTGGCAGAAGTTGCCCGTTACCTGAGCATCATTGAAGGACTAGATGCCTCTGACCCGCTTCGAGTTCGACTGGTCTCGCATCTCAACAACTACGCCTCCCAGCGCGAAGCTGCGAGCGGCGCCCACGCGGGCCTCGGACACATTCCCTGGGGGACCGCCTTCGGACATCACCCTCACATCGCGCACCCACTGTTGCTGCCCCAGAACGGCCACGGGAACGCGGGCACTACGGCCTCGCCCACGGAATCACTCCACCAGGGCAGGCTGGCCTCGGCACATCCGGAGGCGCCTGCTTTGCGAGCGCCCCCTAGCGGCAGCCTCGGACCGGTGCTCCCCGTGGTCACCTCCGCCTCCAAACTGTCGCAGCCTCTGCTCTCCTCAGTGGCCTCCCTGTCGGCTTTCCCCTTCTCTTTCGGCTCCTTCCACTTACTGTCTCCCAATGCACTGAGCCCTTCAGCACCCACGCAGGCTACAAACCTTGGCAAGCCCTATAGACCTTGGGGCACGGAGATTGGAGCTTTTTAAAGAACTGATGTAGAATGTGGGAGGGGAAAGTTTGAAATCCCAGCTGGGCTGGACTGTTGCCAACATCACCTTAAAGTCGTCAGTAAAAAGAAAAAGGTACACTTTCACATAATTTTTTTTTTTTAAGACTAAAGGTTTGTTGGTTTCCTTTCTTTTTTAATGTTTTTTTCATCATGTCATGTATTAGCAGTTTTTAAAAACTAGTTGTTAAATTTTGTTCAAAAGATTTCATTGAAATAGTAAGTATAAGCCAACACTTTGTGATAGGTTTGCACTGTGCCTAATTTACTTTGTAAACCAGAATGATTCCGTTTTTGCCTCAAAATTTGGGGAATCTTAACATTTAGTATTTTTGGTCTGTTTTTCTCCTTGTATAGTTATGGTCTGTTTTTAGAATTAATTTTCCAAATCACTATGCTTAATGTTAACATGATTCTGTTTGTTACTATTTTGACAGATTAAGGTGTTATATAAATAATATTCTTTTGGGGGGAGGGGAACTATATTGAATTTTATATTTCTGAACAAAGCGTTGACAAATCAGATGATCAGCTTTATTCAAGAAAGAAGACTAGTAAATTCTCTGCCTCCTATAGCAGAAAGGTGAATGTACATACTGTTGGTGGCCCTGAATCAATATGACCAGCTGCTGGTGTCTGCCAGGACTGGCAGTTCTGATTTAGTTAGGAGAGAGCAGCTGATAGTTAGGTCTCATTTGGAGTGTTGGTGGAAAGGAAACTGAAGGTAATTGAATAGAATATGCCTGCATTTACCAGCCCCAGCAATGCAGTGAGTTTTTAATCACACGGATCTCAAATTCACAAACGTTAACATGGATAAGGGACCATGGTGTGCAAGCGGTCAATTGAGTAGTACAGTGGAGCCTGTTACATGCATCCAATTTTCCTGGAACTGCCATATTTTCTTTTTGGAAATTCTTATGTGAGTCTTCCTTTTGGTGCATGAAACTGTGGTTGCTGAGATATTTAAAAGGGCTTTCCTGCCTCCTTTGATTTATTTAATTTGATTTGGGCTATAAAATATCATTTTTCAGGTTTATTCTTTTAGCAGGTGTAAACGACCTCCACTGACTGGGTTTGACCTCTGTTGTACTGATGTGTTGTGACTAAATAAAAAAGAAAGAACAGTATTCTGTGGCGTATGTCTTACATCCCTCAGCCTTTCCCCCTCTTGGCTAAGAAAACATAAACTTTCCTTGGTTTTCATTTTTGCTGATCAGTTTGTATGTTTACCAGTTTCATTCTTCTTGGACTTCTAAACGGTGTGAATTCGTGCCATTGAATAAGGTGACTTCATTACAACGCAGAGCTTTGGCCTGCCTCCCACAAGGGGACATGGCCCTTTTGCTCTTATGTCAGATGGTCTGGCCCTAAACTGGCCATCTGTGGACTAGGAAAGCTGAAATCAGACTGAGACTTACAGGGGTGGAAGGGACCTTGGATGAAATATTTAAAAACCGTGTTGACTATTTGACACATATTTACTAAGAGTACCTACTATGTGCTCAGTTCTATGCTGAGAGAATGGAAATTTATTTCTTTTTTTTTTTTTTAAATGGCAATATAGGAACACCCAAATGTTGCTATCCCTGAGACCCCATGCAGGGGCTGGGAAATCTGTGGCCTGATGAGCGGTGGCAGGCTGTAATTCTGCACCTGCACAGCTCCAGGAGTCTTCACTGGTCTTGTTTCCAAGGAATTCGTTTAACTCTTTGTTGCATTGGACTCCTGAGCTGTGTAGCGAGGAAGCTGACATATGCTTTAGGTTAGAACAAAACATGCCAGCACGAGGCTGTATTCTGGGCCCCAGGGGAGAGGAGTGTCTTCCCATTGCCTTAAAAGAAGTTCTCTGCCAATTAAGGAGTGCTCCTAAGGAGTTTGCCTTGATCCTGAGGGTAGTGGGGAGGAGAGGGAGAAAACCCATGTTGGCAGATGATAAAATAAAGCCTTCCTTTTCTTTGCCCAAACACAGAGCTCCTCCTCCCATTTGGTGAAAAAAAAAAAAAAAAAAAAACACAGAAAGCAAAGAGAAGTTTGGACTTTGAATTTGAGCATCGACTTCTGGTCCCCGGGAAGGGATGGGAGACTGACATTTTTGCAATTGTGGGTTTCCAATCCCTTGAAAGCTTTCTGTGCATGGCCTCAGACGTTGATCCCTCTTGTGATGCACAGCCCTGCTTGCAGTAATGCCTGTGCCACACAGACACTCTTTCTGTCTAAGGCTGTGATGGAAAGTGTTATGCTAATTTCTGCCAGGTGTCAGTTTAATTTTAGCAACTGCGATTTCCAGTGACATTACAGCATTACTGAACAGCATTGAGCTTCGACTGTCTCTCACCGTTACATAGGTTTAGATGGCTGCTAATGTGGCAAGAAATAAAGCCTCTCATTTGCTGGCTCTGCTGAAAGAGTGTGACACTGTAAAACATGTAGCACTTCCATTTGTCTCAACCATGACAGCTAGATCCAGTTAGTACTTTTTTCTTTTAGCGGTAGGTCTGGCAGTTTGTTTCCAGATTACTTGCTTTTCCATGGAAATATTCTGGTTTCCTTTCAAGCCCTTTCAAGGTGAAAGTATCTGAGGATGGTGCAGGTGGAGTGTGAGCTTCCTGGGAAGCAGGATGGAGTATGACTATGTACCAATAGTGACTAAAAAAATAATTTAAGAAAACTCCCATTTCTATTCGGAATCAATGCAATAAAAAAAAAACAACATCAGGTTATCAGGGCCAGCACATGTATACACACACACACACATATACACGTATATATATGTGTGTATATATAAGTGTGTATATATACACATATATACATATATACACACATATATTCTTATATATACATATATATGTATATATATGTTTTTTTTTTTTTTTGTCTGAGATGGAGTTTCGCTCTTGCTGCCCAGGCTGGAGTACAATGGTGTGATCTCAGCTCACTGCAACCTCTCCCTCCCAGGTTTTATAAGCGATTCTCCTGCCTCAGCCTCCCGAGTAGCTGGGATTACAGTCATGTGCCACCATGCCTGGCTAATCTTTGTATGTTTAGTAGAGATGGGGTTTTTCCATGTTGTTCAGGCTGGTTTTGAACTCTCAACCTCAGGTGATCTGCCCACCTCAGCCTCCCAAAGTGCCAGGATTACAGGCGCAAACCACCATGCCTGGCCAGGGCCAGCATAGCTTTGTGTTATATGTTTATTTATAATACATCTACCAGTGTAAACAAAATTTTTTCAGAGAAGGCATAAATTTACCTTATAAGAAAAATAATATCATTGGTTATAAAGAATCTTGAAGGGCCTCAATAATTACCCACTTATTTTCATTTAATGTATTACCATGAATTAATATGATGAAGTAGATAGATGGGCAGAATTCTTGTATTTAAAAAAGCTTCTAAAAGAAGAATCCGAGAAATAATTGTTTCTAATGTATTCAGTCTAGCTAAATTAGGATGTGATTTTTTTTCAGGTTTTCATTGCCCCACTCTGTGACTCACTAAAATCATGATATTTTAAATATAGATTTTTTACATTTGAAATCCCTCAGGAAATGTTTTATCTCCTAGTTATACTTCTCTCCAGCCCTTCCCATCTATACCAGTATCACAGCTTTGATGCCTTCATTAGTTTCTAGTGATGATTTATAATTAAAATCACTTCAGAGCTAGTATCAGCTGAGACACTGCTTCAGATGTGCCCCAATTTCATTTACAACTGGAGTCCCAGGGAATGAGAGCACTTTGGAAGGGGGACCAGAATTTTGGCTCCTGCTTTTACCTAATTGGGTGACACTGGATAAGTCATTGCAATTCTCTGAACCCTACTTTCCTCATTCTGAACCCCATTTTCCTCATCTGCCAAATAGAGTGGTTGGACCCGGTGAGGGTCCTAGGTGCCTTGTGACAGAGACTGGCACTACTGGGGAGGGATGCAGTGGTGTCAGGTGAGTGATGACCCAGGGAGCATGTCACATGTTCCCAGCACCCATTCTGTCTCCAGGTCTGGCTGAAGGGTCAGGCCAATTGTTCCTATGCGGGAATTTTGGTCCAGCATTAGCAGATCTTTCAAGTTTTCAAAGCATCTCCAAATTTGGATTTTTAGGTGAAATTGTCCAATCTTTATTGGTTGGTCACTAATTCACCGAAACCTGTCTGCCAGCAAGACTGAGCCATGGGCAACAACTGTTTCTCAGCTTCCAGGACTCTACCCTGAATGGCTCTCTGGAGGGTTAGACTTTTCTCATCTTTATCATGCATGGTTTGAATATGATACAATAACTGGGTAAACATAAGCTAAAATAAAATAAACACTGCAGTCATTAGGCAGCTGTAGGTGGTATCATGTAAAGATTATGGGCAGAGTTTTTTACCAAATTACTTCTGAATTGTCCAATTTCCTCAACGTAAAGTAAAACAAGGAGAGAGAAGCTTGATGCTTCACAGAAACATCAAAGCTTCAAAGGTGCTCTCGACTTGGTCCTTTCGTTCCCTTTGCCATGGAGAAAGACGAGTTCTCAGCCTGGCAGCCTGAAACGAAAGAGTGAGTGTGTAGCTCGCTTGTGACTCAGCACACTGAAGTACTAAAAGGCGCCATCTGATTTCAGGAAGTAAGAAGTCTCAGCAAAAAGCAAGCTGTTTTGAACTTCAACTTGAAATATAATGCCGGCCTTGATCTTGATGAGCTGCAGGGCTTTTCTCTCGGATCCTTCTGTGTTCTGCTCTGGGTGGGGGTGGGGGGAGGTGAGAAGAAAGCTGAGGAAAAAGAAACTCAGGCCTTTTTTTTGGAGCTGTCTGTAGATATTGACAGGCACTTGCCGCAGAAATGTTCTCCCAAGCCTGTATATCAGCGAAATTCAAGGTAAACAAATGTCCCTAAGAAATGGGTCTGAGAAACACGGACAGGTTTCTGGATTGTGTGTTAATCCCCTGCCACATTATGCTTCTTTATAATTTGGTTGTGAAATTTCCTGTTGAATTTACTTCTATGTTAGTATTTTTTGTTATAGTCAAGTTAAAAGACCATGCCTAAATTTGAAAACTCTTCTTCACAGATGGTTGGTAGGTTACGGCTTGATCTAGCAGAAGAGACTTGACAACGTTATATTTTAGCCAGAAAGAGACTGGCGGTTACCTCTGATAGAGCTGCTACCTAAACAGTTTCTGTAGCTACTTTTAGTTTTGTTTGTTTTTTAAAAAATGCCTGCCCTGGGCATGGTTTTGTTTCTGGTACATAGGAATGTTCCATAAATGCAGAATTGAATCATAAAATTAAAGAATGACATATCTGAGCCTTTGATCATCCTCTTTGACCTCATTTCCTACCACTCACCCCTCACTGCTCCAGCCACACTTGCTCTCTGCTGTTGTGGGAATGTGCTCTGGAAGTCTGCATCTCCAGGCCTTTGCACTGGCTGTTCCCTGTACCTGGAATGCTTTTCCCGCAATGGTCTGCTAACCTATCTGTAATCTCTACTTGGGGCTGTGTGCTCAAAGGTCACCTTCCCCACCTGGTCTTTCCTTACAACTCTACTTAAAACAATCATCCCCCTCTCACCCTCTCATCCCCACTTAACACCTTTCCCTACTGCCTCCCTTTCTTCTTTTATCTCCACATTACCCGGCATTATCTGACAGAATCCACATCTCATTGATTGTTTGTTTATTGTCTGTTTTTGCCTGCTTTGTTCACTTCTACAGTTCTGTCACCTAAAACTGCCTAGCATATCAGAGGCTCTCGGTAAGTATTTGTACTCACCTACTTTCTACAGGGAGGGGAGAAGGCCTGGCTTCTCCCCTCCCTGTAGAAAGTAGGTGAGTACAAATAAGTAGGTGAGTGAGTGAATGAATGAGTAGGTGAACGAGTGAATGAATTCTACCCCCCATCTTAGTCGTCACTAAGAAGCAGAGCAAAAGAGAGCCAGCCAGGCAGGTCTTTATCCTCCAGCCACCACCTTCAGCACTCCCAGGGAAGGTCATTTTATGTTTTGCTTCAGTACTTCCTCTTCATGATTATAAAATTCTGCTTTTATTTGTTTATTTTAAGTGTATTTATTTTTATTTTTAGATAGAGACAGGGTCTTGGTATGCTGCCCAGGCTGGTTTCAAATTTCTGGATTCAAGCGATCCTCCC